CAGACCCAGGGGCGCTCCTCAAAGCCTCCCTGCAGTGGAAGCTGCTCATGGAGCTCCTATGGTACCCATCCTGGGAATGGCCTTCCCTCCTTGTGGTTGATTGCACTAGAGCCTTGACCGTGGTTTCACATGAGTTGGAGCTGGTCGTACCCAGGCCAGCTCAGCATGGCCCCTGACACATGCAGCCATGACTCAGTAAACACCGAGCGAAGACTGAGCTCAGGGAAGGCAGGCGAGCACTGTGGGTCTTTGTGTTCCCAGCACTTAGTGTGGGCCAGCACGCAATGGGTTCCCAGTAAATTAATGTTTGACGCCATCTGACTCTGTTTTTTTTTTTTTTTTTTTTTTTTTTTTTTTTTTTTTTTTTTTTGAGACGGAGTTTCGCTCTTGTTGCCCAGGCTGGAGTGCAATGGCACGATCTCGGCTCACCACAACCTCCGCCTCCTGGGTTCAGGCAATTCTCCTGCCTCAGCCTCCTGAGTAGCTGGGATTACAGGCACACGCCACCATGCCCAGCTAATTTCTAGTATTTTTAGTAGAGACGGGGTTTCACCATGTTGACCAGGATGGTCTCGATCTCTTGACCTCGTGATCCACCCGCCTCGGCCTCCCAAAGTGCTGGGATTACAGGCTTGAGCCACCGCGCCCGGCCCTGACTCTGTTTTTAAAAAACGATGTGTGTACAAAGAAGAAAGCAACACCAAAAACTCTGAATTATCTAGGGTGAACATTTGGTGAGTTGTATTCAGAGTTTCTCATTATGTGTATATTCAGACGAGATCAGGCGTGTTCAGGATGGTATGGCCGTAGACCTTATGTGTCTATTCAGATCAAAGACTCGATGGAGGAGTGAATGGATGGCTGATAGAAAGATGGACAAAAGCAGCTTAATTAAAATATAATCATACCATATTTGCTATTTTTAAATGAAATGCATAAAATTGAATCTTAATAGAACATAACCAAAGAGAAACAAACTGAAGTAAAATAGAAGAACAGGTAGTTTTGAGATAAATGTTAATTAATCACAGGAAATATTAGTATAAAAAGATCCCTTCATAGGAGAGAGAGAGAGAGAGGATAAAAACCCTCAAAGGGCTAGAGTCATTATGTTGTACTTTTTTCTAACGACATATTTCAATTTTAGATACCATAGGTTGACTCTGATTTAAAGAGATTCTTAGTAAGTGCACCCCCATCTCCCCTCCACCCACTCCTCAATTTTGGTTGCTGAAATTAGTTTTACTTTGACAGGTTGTATAACATTTACATTCCGTTCTGTAGCCAGCATTCACCTAGTTGCTATTCTTGGTTCTGCACTTAAATAGATTTGAAGCTCATCACCACTCATTCTAACAGAGGTTCTACATCACTGAGTTGGTTTTTTTTCTTTTGAATCATCTCTTGGTTGGCAGGATTTTGTCACTGAACATGACTTTCAAGAAGAGCTTGTGAGTGCTTTAGTTGCTGAGCCCTTTCATGCTGCGACAGGGTGGCTTTGTCCTCTGCGATCCCCTGGCTGGTGTGGTATTCTTGGGTCACACTCTTTTCCCTGCAGAATGCTGTGGATATCTTCCTTTGCCTTTCATTCTCTCACTTCATCTTTTTGCTTGGATTGGCAGCACCTGGTGACCAGCATCTTACATTCCCTACGTTCTGAACCATTTGAGAAAGATGAAAGAGGAAGGCTGCTGTTAGAGAGAGAATGGGGTGAACACAGCCTCAGAATGGGACAGGCAGGGCTGCTCTGCAGCCAGCTTCCTTCCCATGGGCAGTGTCTGTCCATCTAAAACCTAAGGCCCAGAGGGGAGAGCAGGAGGAGGGAGGGGAGGGGCGGGCCGCAGGCTGCCAGCGTTTCCCATCCGCTCACCACCCAGCTGTTCTTCCACCTCCAGTGCACGAGAGCAGGTGGGACCGGGAGGTGGTTTTGGGTGGGAGGAACCTCCCCTCCACATGAGAGGAACCCTCAGGGTAGAGGAGGCAGCATCTCCCCATCGCTTGCCTTTGACGTCTTAATTTATGGAATCTGTATCTTCATTAAGCTTCATCTACAGCACAAAGTGCTCTCAGGAACTTGCTTGCACGTCTCAGGTGAGGTTTTTTACCAAACAAGTTTCTTCACCCATGCAAATGTTGCAGAGGGACAGTGTGAGAGGACGCTGGATTTGGCAACGGCATGATCTGATGCGACCTTAGTTTAGACGTAGAGGTGCACGTTTCGGTGGTGGGTCTGAAGGCAGGCTGAGGGAGGTCAAGGAAAGCATGAGGGTTGAGAAATCAGGGAGAAGGTGCAGCGGATTCCTTAGTGGCAGGAGGGGAAGGGAGCGGGCCGTCTGTGAGAGGGGACCTGCAATCTGGCCTTCCTCCTTGCTGTCTTCGATGCCTCCTCTCTTAGCTGCTTCCCCTCTGCCTATAAACATGCACCAGCCTTTACTGTGGAAATCTAGAGTCTAGGAACCACTGCTCATGCCCACTTACAGGCAGAGGGGAAGAGGGCAAGAGAGGGGGACATTCAAGATGACGGAAGAAGGGCCGAGGCAGAAAGAGACAGGGAGAGGCAGATGGGACAGTGAGGCCTTGGGTGAAGCCAGAGCAGGAGCTCCAGACCCAGGAGCAATGCCCAGGCAGGGAGGAGGACTCTGTCTCCTAAAGCAGCCAAAGTGACCACACAGCCTCACAGGAGAGACAGCAAGGCGCTCACCAATCCCTCCGTCTTCCCAGTTCCGGAGGAGAGCTGGCCTCTGTGGGGGACTCAGGGGACTGAGGAGGGAGGGCTGAGGCAGGTGAAGAGTCACGATCACCAGGGTCATGGTGTCAAGGGGGGCACCTCTGTGGCATCCAGGGCTGTGAGTAGTGAGGCTAGAGAGGGGCCTGTGCAGCTGGGGGGAGCCTCTCCCCTCTATGGCCTCATCGAGGCTCTGCCCAGCCAACACCTGGTGCCATGAGACTCTAGGAAGACACAGCTATTGAGGGCGGTGGGACCAGGAGCCAGGAGAGGACCCACTTTGTGTGACCTTCCCTAGAGTGGCCAGGGCTGTCAGCAGTCACTCTGTTGTGCCTCCTTACCTTTTTCCTGAAGACAGAAAGAAGGAAACCATGCCTTGCTATCTAATTCCAGGCAGCACTCATCCTGTGGGTGAGGAGACTGAGGCCCAAGCTACGGAGAAAGACCCCAGAAGAGGCGAGAGTGGGGGACGGAGCTATCTGCGATGGCTCTGCCGGACTGGGGTGTCGGGTAGCTGATGAGGCTGGAGAGCTAGGCCAGGGTCAGATCACAGGTGGACTCTAGTGCCACCCCAAGGACTTGACTCTAGAAAGTTCAGTCTGCTGGAAGGCTGGAGAGTGGATTGCAGAGTTGGGAGTCTGGGTGCAGTTACAACAGTGAGGTTGTTCTGACCATGGTCCAGGTACCAGGGCACACGGCTGGGCTCAGGTGGAGCAGATGGAGCTATGGGACTTGGTAACTGACTAGCTGTGTGGGAGGTGGATGCCTCTGTTTCTTACTTGGACAGCTAGGGGGTACTTTTCATGCAGATGAGACCAGACTGTCAGGGAAGGTCGGGCTGGGAGATCAAGCCTGGGAGACATCCGAGGGAAATGTCTGGTGTGCAATTGTACGTAGCTGTCTAAGGCTTGGTGAGAACTCCCAGGCTGGAGCTGTGGACCGGGGCTGCACACAGGAGGTGGCTATGGCCATGGCATGGCCACCATCACCCAAGACAGACCCCGGGGGTTCATCAAGGATCTCCAGAAGTGGGCAGAGGAGAAGGCTCACAAAGCTGTGCTCAGAGACGTCGATGAAAGCAGCAGAAAGGAGCAAAGATGTCGGCCAAACCAAAAACAGTGTTTCAGGAAGGGAGAGGCGGGTGATGCCCGGTGCTGCCGGAGGACTCAGCAAAACAGAGCGTGCCCACTGACCCGCAGCAGTGAGGGCACAGGTGGCTTTGGGAAGAGCGATTTCTAGGGCTCATGGGGCAAAAGTCAGACCCCAGAGAGTGAGCATGCAGGAGAGTGTGGGCCGTGCTGTTTGGGAAGCTTCCGCACTGGCTGAGAGTCTGGTGCCCGCACTCTCTGGGTGTTGTTGACTTGCTTTGTCAAAACAAGTATTTAGCTTTTGGAGCGAGTCTTATTTAACCAAAGATCTCCAGCGTGCCTGTGTCACCAAGGCCTCCCCTTGCCCATCACCTGTCCCTCTCACAGAAACTCCGTGGTCGCAGAAGGTGAAAGAGCTCCTTCCTCGTGGGTTCTCGGAGCTCCAGAATCTCGGTCAGGGTCTCCAGGCTGCCTGAGAAGCACGTTGGGAGGCCGCCGTGCTGGGAGCCCGCTGTGCTGGGCGCCGGCCGTGCTGGGAAGCCAGGCTGCTGCATTCTGCATCAGGCCTTGCTACACCACATCTCCCACCCATGGCCGCTCACCGGCCGGGCCCCCACCAGCTTCTCATACTCCCCTTACTCTTTCATGAGATAACCGCAGAACGTGGGAGCCAGAGGAGGCCTCTGCATCTTCAGGCCAACACCCGAGCAAACACGGGCCCCTGGAGGGACAGCAATCTGCCTGCAGCGTTGCCCGAGGGGTACCCGGTGTTCTGGCCCCTGTGTAAGCCCCTGGTCTGGAGAGAGGAGCATCTAGGCAAAGACCTCTGTGGGGAGGGAGAGGCCCAGAGCCCCTTGAACTTGGTTGGCCTTCCCCAAAGTCCTGAGCAGGTCAGTGCACCTTGGGAGGCCTCTCAGGGCTGGAGATGGCCATTGGGCTCCCCTGACTTGGCCCTTCATTTTTTTTTCTTAATCATTATTATGTTTTTATAGAGAGGCAGAGTCTCACTATGTTGCCCAGGCTAGTCTCAGAGCTCCTGGGCTCAAGTGATCCTCCCGCCTCAGCTTCCCGACGTGCTGGGATTACAGGCGTGAGCCACTGCACCCTCCACTTTTAAAGGCCCCTCTGGGAACAGGCCTGGGGCCTTTCATTGATCTGTGGTCCTGCCACCCCGACCTCAATTGCAGGTACCAAGGCCACGTCCCCAGTGTGGCCTTCTCCTTTGGCTCTCCCTACGGCACCACCACCCTCAAATACTTCCAGGACCACCGCAACGCGGCCATGGAGAAGAGCCACACTCCCTTCAGCCAAGGCGGCCACTTCCCGACACTCTTCTCCACCAACCCCCACCTTCTGCTGATGCTGCGCACGAGCACCCGGGACCGCTGGCTGCACAAGCCCAGCTACACCCGCTTCAACCTGGACAGCCACCGCTCCACGGAGCTCACGCACTTCTACGAGGTAAGCTGCGCCGGCCGCACTGGGGACTCCCCTGTTGCCCACCTGCCCCGCCATGGGAGGGACTGATAGCTGGGGGCCAGGGGTGGGGGGAGACCTCGCACCTGCCAGAGTGTCATGATTTTCTTTCTCAGAGCCCCGAAGCCAGCAGGGAGTGTGGCGGGTTTAGCTAAATGGAGTGGGGCGTCTCAGGACTTTGTCCACCCCCCTCCCTGGTCTCCTCCCACCTCCCGAGGCTTCAAGTCCTCGTCTTCCTGCTCACCCCCACTGCCAGTGGAGCTGGGGGTCTCTAGGGGTGCTCTTGCCCTTACCTTCTGCCCCCCGGAGTCTCTTGGGTCTGTGGAATGCCATGTATTTTCTAGGTGAGTAAAAGGTCTAAGATCCACCCTCCCTCCGATGAATAGCACACGAGCAAAGGCCCCACTAGAGCCCCCGACCCCAGGTCCAGCCCACAGTGTTTATCCACCTGTGTCCTGGAGCCGGCTCACCTCTCCCTGCCCTGCAGCGCCCCCAGTGGGTATGCCCTGAGTGACCCTTAGCCCCAGGCTGGGTGAGACTGCCCTGCGAGGAGCGAGCCCAAGGAAACGGACCCGCCCACACCCCTGTTCTCGTCCCTCTAGCCTGACTGCAAGGACACAGGTATGTCCTGGTCCCAGGGCAGAGAACTTGTATGCGTAAGGCAGCTTCCTCCAGGGAGGAGGAGGCTGATGCCATCAGCCTCTGAGGCAGGTGCGACCATCTTGGGGTCTGTGAAAGCTTCTGCCTTCTTCTTGGCTCCCACACAGAACATGTCCTGTACAGAGGGGAAGGAGAGGAAGGAGCAAACACAGGCCAGGAGAACAAGGAGCCTGTGTGCACAGCAGGTGTGGGGGCGCCTGTGGGGCTGGGTTTTTGTACTTGGTCTTAGCTGATCCCTTGTCTCCATTTACTCTCCGCAGCAAAGCTGCTCAGGTGGGTGTCGTCATTCCCACTAGGCAGATGAGAGATCGAGGCTCAGTGAGGATACCCAGCGGGTTGGCAATTTAGCTGGGGCCCCAGCAATGCCGGGACTCCTCCAGGGGCATTCGGGGAGGTAGGCCCCAACCCTGCCCAGGTGCAGCAAGGCATGGGCTGCAGGTGCCTGGGTCATTCCCGCACACTAACAACCTGTCACCTCTTCCTCTATTGAACCATAGACAGTCCAGGAGCATCGGAAGTACTATCAAGACAAGACGGGCATGGTGCCTCGAGTCGCCTCCTTTGTGCTGCCTGTGAGGGAGCCGGAACGGTACCCGCTCCCCACCGTCCTGTGAGTGACTGCCTCCTTCACCCACGCAGTCAACAAACGCACCCAGCCCAGGGGACACCTGCTCTCGGCCAGGCGTGCAAAGCTCACAGACTGAGAAATGAGTTGAGGATCTCACCCTAAAACATGCAGTGCAGGGAGTGATCGTGACAGAACAAGGGCTTGGCAGACTCGGGGGGATGCTGGTAGCCTGAATGGGTGAATCTGGAAGAGTGCTTTCCCAGCCAGATGCATTGGGAGTTTGGGAGAAAACTGCAATAGTTTAGCTTAGCGGGCCTGAATCTGCGGACTGCTGCCCTGCAGAGGCAGCCTGGCAGCTGCACTAGTCCAAACGTGGGTGCTGATGCAGCGAGCAGTGAGGAGCTGCTGCCCTCTGGTGGCCATAGAGGGCACTACACCGAGGAATCCCCACCCCGCCACCCTCCCAGCCCTGTCTACATTAGGAAAATGTTCTAAGGACTCTGTCCATCTAACAAAACAGAAAAGTTCCTTGCCTCCTGCCCCTCACTGCTTTTATCTAGGAGATCTCCTTTCTCCAGGGAAGGCCCATTCTGCCCTGAAAGATGACTTGGATACTGTGGTTTCTGCGCTGTCTCCTTCCGGAAGCGCAGGCAGGGGGACCACTGGTCCACACTAGGTGTCCTGGGGTTGGGGTAGCGTGGTGGCTGGTGCCTGGCCTGGGACATCAGTGGATAGAGCTTGGGATTTAGTTCCATGCCGACCACTGCCTGATTGCCTCAGAGTCCTGAGATTCACCATCATCCATACTGATAAAGCAGCATCTGTTTCCATAAGTTTAATGGTTTTTAAAGGAACAGACTTCACTGCTTCTAAAAGTTCCTTTCCACAAGACAGACAGCATCATTTTACACAAAAGGAACCTGAGGCTCAGTGGTCGCCTGGGAACTTGTGCTCTGTGGCCTCGCTGGTTGGAGGCAGAGCTTGGAAAGGAAGCAGCATCTCCCATCACCAACTCTGCGACTCAGGGGGCTCTCTCCAGGCTTGGGATGGCTCTAAGCCAGTCCATCCATGGAATAGGGTGGGACTCTTTTGGAGACAGGTATCCTCTTGAGACTGCTCTGGCCAGGATCCACCCCCAGTCCCCATCACTGTGGGGAGAGTGGGACACCCCAAATCTGTTCCTTCTCCAAATTCCCTGGCCACTTGCTTTGCTGCTGACAGTTTCACAACCGATGCAAAGGACCAACCAGGTGGTTGGGGAAAGAGGGTCAGTGACCGGCCTGGGGTGAGCCCCTCCTGTCCTAGAGTCCCCGAATCAGCACCATCATCGTCTTAGAACATGTGTTGTGTGTTCACTCCTCGTCCAGAGCTCTACATGCATTACCGCATTTCTTCCTCAAGTCAAAGCTAAGAGGGACATACCACCACTGGGCCATTCTTCGAGCAGGAGTTAGGGCCAGAGTCCATCCCAGGTCGGTCTGACACCTGAGGCCTCACTCTTAACCACTGTGCCGTTATATAAATACAGGTTATTACTGCCCCAAGTCCAGGGGGACTTATCAGGGTTAAACTGACGAGTAGCCAGCAGGCCAGCATGAGCTGGAGAGTGGGCAAGTGGGGCTGTGGGTGGGCATGTATCACCTTCCTTCCCTGGCACGCTGCATAACACCAGTCCCATCCTCACCCCTAGGCCTCCTCTGAGCCCGAAGAAGAAGTGGCACCTTTTAAGACTAGCTCCTGAGAACCTGAAGACCTACCAGACCTTCCCATCAGGGAAGAGGGTCTCTCCACAAGAGCGACAAAAGAGAGACTGCTACTTCGAGTTCAGAGCATGAGACCAGGTGCCTGATGCCTGAGATCCTGGGCCGTGACCAGCCCAGCTTGCTTGGAATAAAATCTTTAGCATGACCATCCTTCCCACCTCTCCTCTGGATCCCAAGGACACTCGGCCACAGTAGAAAATGCCCCTGAAGGTCACGCAGCTAAGGGCCTGAAGAGAGCTCAGCCCCAGGGACTCAAGCAAAGGAAAAGCAGTGTCCGGCTACCTGGCAGGTCCACCTACCTTCTCCCCGAGGTGGGGCAAGTAGAATTGAGGAACGTAGGGTTCCCAAGTCTTAGTGGCAGGTCACTAAGGTACAGAGACCTCCCACCTGATTCATTGGTATCAGCAAGGACGCCCAATTACCCCGATCTGAGAATGAAGGGGACGTGGCCCCAGCACAATTGTGCTGGGTGTGATTGGAAAGGAATTTTCATCGGAGCTCTGATTTGGCATTGTTTGGTCCACACAATCACTTGGGAGGGAGGTGTTATCTCCTCTTTACCAATAAGGACACTGAGGTTTGGAGCAGGTGAGAATGTTGCCCGAGCTCACCCAGCTGGGAAGTAACACAGCCAGAATTTGAATCCAGGTCTTTCTGACTCCCAAGTCCCGGTTTTCCCATGACCGCAGCCTGCCTGTGGTCCACGTGGAGACTGAGGGGCAGGCAGGACACAGACCTGAGGATCCTGAAGGCCCCTGTGGAGGGGTGAAGCCTGGGAGAAGCTGTGAGCAGCAGGCACCTCCTGCATTCTGCCCAGGCTGGCTTGGACGGGTGGCTGTGGCATCTACCCCTGAAGCTGTTTCTAGAAGAGGATGGGAGGGAATGACCGAGGACCAGGCCACTCTTCCAGAAATACCTATGTTTGGGGGCCCCAGGCCAGAAGTGGATGCTGGGCATGGGTGCTGAGGCCGCAGGCCTGGGGTGGTCTTTGAGGTCTGGAGGGTCTGCTCCCACCGGGCTGCTGCTTCTCACAGCCCAGGAGGCTTCTGCCTGCTGGGGCAGGGGCAGGACGTGGGTGAGAGCCCCTCAGTGGCAGGATTTGGGGTGGGGACCTCAGGCCAAGGTAGAGACCTTCTCCAACATTCCAGCACGTCTTGGATTTGGTCACGGGCACTCCATGAAGTAACAAGGCCCTTATTGCCCTTGAGTGGGCGAGTCAGGACCTAACGGCAAGGGGAACACAGCCAGGTTCAAGGACGCCTGGGGCTGAAACAGCCCCTCCTCTGTAGCCAGCGATAGACACCTCCCCCAGGACAGTATAAGTACAATAAACCCTATGAGGGGCTTCTTCTGTGCCTCCAAGTCCCCGATGAGCTGGGCCCCAAAGACTCTCTGTGGAGGCTGATTTCATTCCAGAGCTTGGCTGAATAGCAAAGCAAATAAACTCTGATTGCTGGTTCCACAATCAGGGCCAAGATGCCTTCTCCCTTGGAAGGGGAGTGGGGAGCCGGGCGCCGGCTGGAATGGCTGCTATGTGCAGCTCAGGGCTGCGAGGTGCTGGGGGTCGGGGGTTCCAACGAAGGGAGGGAAGGGCATGTACCTTTCTAGGGACCCTCATCCCATTTGGCCTGGTCCCCTGCTATGACATGGGTTGAGATTTGAACTATTCCCTCAAAACGATCGCCTCCACAGCCTGCTTAAACTGAAATGGGCAGTTCTAAATTAAAAGTATGTGTGTGCTCCTGCATTTCAAAAGTGATGATCTGATGGGCTAAGGAAAAGGGTCTTTATTTTATCTAATAAACAATATTCTAGAGGTGAGGGTGGGCCCAGGACAAAGTCATACTTGAAACCAGCTCCCTCCAGTGCTGGAGGGGGCTCGATTCCGGTGTTCTCCTTCGAGGCTGCCACGCCAGGTGTTTGCAGCCACATCAGCATCCCCAGAAGTGAATCCGAAAGGAGCTGAAAGAAAGAACTTTGTGACAAAGCAGAGACACCTGGTGCACAGCACAGAGGGAGCGTGGAGGGCCGAGGGGAGGCAGAGACATCGGCACGGAGGGACCCAGCGGCCCCGGGCTCCTGTCCTGGTGCTGGCTGAGGTCTAGCCCTTTGTTCTGCTTTCCTTGGTCTGTAAAAGCACCTTGAGCGGGCACCCTCCAAATCAGCATGCCTCTGAGACCAGTGGGCAGAGTCGCACCCAGGAGCAGGAGACACCAGCCCTCAGACACCAGCTCCCCCTGGCTCCTCCTCCGTGGCACGCCCTACTTCCAGGGGGCATGCGACTTCCGAAACCATCAGAACCCCGAAAAGACTTCATCATGGCCAGGGAGATCTAGAGGTGGCCAATCTTCTCAGGGACGTTTGGGCCACAGAAGACCCTTCAGCAACCCCCCCCCCCGACCCGCCCCCCGCTCAAAGAAATGGAATTGGGTGCTTCTCTCATTGTCTGTTTTCTTCTATGAGCTCCACCACCAGCATCTTCAGATCCTGCCTGCAAAGCCCCAACTCCCAGTGGGTTGCTGGAGGCGGGGGGGTTGTCCAGGAGCCCAGTGGGCCTCAGGAGAAGCACCGAGGTGTGCCAGCTGGCGCGGGGAATGCTCTGAGGTTGGAGGTGTGACGTCATTCTCAAAGCCTGGAATCCAGTCCCCACCTCTGCCTTTTAATACCCCAGGGTTACCTATTTCTCAAAAGCTCCAGTTTTGCTGATTCTGAAAGAATCTGCAAAGTCTCCTGGAAACTCATGACCTCCTTGGGAAGACAGATGTCCCATGGACTGAGGGGAAACTGGGGGGGCCCTTCCTGACCCCCTACTCCTCTGGGCAGTCCCGCCCCTCCAGAATGCCTTACTTCATGAAATCTGGAGACTTGGCCATTGCATGTTCAAACTCTGAGAAGGACAGCATGTTGTCATTGTCCAGATCCGACTCCCTCAGGACCTGGCCACGGAGCACAGAAGGTGGCTGAGTGGGACCTGGTGCCAGGCAGTGAGTTAAGGCAGGGGGTGGAGGGGGAGAGCCACATGCCAGGGGCTGCCAGATGCTAGGGCCTCTGCCACGTGCTTAACACTCGTCTCCTGGGTCCCCTGACCCCAGTGACCCCACAGAGATGAGGTTACATGCACCAAGGCTGGGGACCCTGCAGGCTGCCTCTCTCACTCTTTGGGGGCTCCAGCACCAGCCTGGCAGTGAGAGAACAAGAGTACCCCCAACCTGCCCCTCCAATCAGTAACACAGGGGGCCCAGGCAGGCCGGGAGGTGGTGGGGACTCCCTCAACAGTGCTCGTGGTTTCATCTTCCTTCTAGCCCCATCGAGACTGGAAACGCTGGAGGCTTGTCAAGTTCTGAAAGCCAAGGTGCAGGCCCTGACTTGAGTTTGCAGGGCCATCCTCATATCTGTCACTCCAGGACACCTGGGCGTTGTGTCGTGCTGTGACCGTGTGGGGAGGAGATGTTGAGATAGGTCCCTCTAAGGCTGAGCTGCTCTTGGCCAGCCACCGGCAGTCCCCACCATGTAGGGAGGCCCCTCGAGTGGGTGGGTCGGGCGCAGTGTTCTGGAGACCCTGGGCAGGTCTTGGAGGAAGGATGGAAAGTCAAAGGGCAGTTGCCTCCAGCTGTGTGCCCATTCCTCAGGGTACCCTGAGCTGCCTGTCCCCTTGGCAGCCCCCAGGGAATGTGTATACCAAAGGCCAATGTGTCGTCTGCCTCAGCCTGGCCCTGGGTCTCCTCCCAAGAGGGTGGCCTGACATCCAGGGGCTTTGGGTGGCAACATGGCCCCTATCCCCAGCCCCGGCCACCAGCTCCTAGCCCCCAGCACACACATGGTGCATGAGGTCCACCAGCAGGTCATCAGACGTGTCGTCACTGTTGAGCAGCCGTAGGATGATCCTCTGCAGGTCCTCCTCATCAATGAAGCCGTTCTCATTAAAATCTGCAAAGACGCCAGGCCTGCATTAGAGGGAGCTGGGGGCTGAACGGGAAGAGGCCTTGAGGAGTTCTGGGGAACCCGGGACCAGCCAGGACCCCACAGATGCCCATCAGCCTCTGGGAGACCCCCCAGAGCCCAACTCTCCCAGGCGGGTCTAGAACCTGAGATAACCCAGGGAGACCTGGGCAGGCCTAAGAGGCAAGCACTGCAGCACCAGAGCCGGCTGCAGACACATGTGCTGAATAACCCGTCAGAAATACCAATGGCAGTAGGTACTGAGCGTGTGGGTACTACATGCTCAGACCTCTCGCGAGAGCTTTAAGGCATTGAATCTTCCCAATCAACCTTTATTAGTCTTTTACCAGAAAGAAACTGAGGCACAGAGAGTTATGTGGTTGTCTGCAGCCCCAGGAGGTGGAAGGGGAGATTCCAGCCCAGCCAGGTTGACCTCCGAGCCCCACATCCACCCCCGTGCTCTGCAACTCTTAACTCACAACCCAGAAGCCAGGGTGTCTTTTGGTGGCTGGGAGCCAGGCAGTGTGGTGCAGAGGGCGGCCTGGATCTGGAGTCGGAAGGCCTGGGGGCCAGTCCCTGCTTCTGTCCCAATGCAGTAGCTGTGTGATCTGGGCATGTGCCCTCATCTCTGCAGCGAAGGGGGGACCATGGTCCTTGTCATCTGTCCAGAGTGGGGCTGGCCACATTGACCCTGACAGTGCCCTCAAAGGGTAACAGAGACAAGAGGCAACATTCCCTCCAACCCCGTGCAGCCTCCTTCATGAAGTGGAGTCCAGAAATGGGCAAAAATGGGCACCATTTCTTCATCCAAGGAAAGCCACAGCTGTCGGAAAAAGGGTAAAGGACAGGGAGCCTGCAGATCATGGCGGGCTCCACACACTTCACATCCCCCCCAAGACAGCCCAGGGTGCTGCCGTGGCCCAGGTGTGCACAGAGGGTTCCAGCCACAGGGAGCCCTGGGACTCGGGTGGGCGGTAGTGGGGGTGGCACTGGGATGTGGACTTCTGGGGGCCGTGCTGGCTCGTGCATGCCAGCTGCTCCTTCCTCCACTGTGGCCACAGCCCGGGGCCCCTGCCTTCCAGGACAGTGCTCGGAAGTGCCCACCCACGGCCCACCAGTTGGGGACTGCTGCTCGGGGACTGGCCAGGCCTTGGTCCTCCTTTTAGGGCCAGAAAACATGGTCATTACATAAACCTCCTGAGCACTGGACAGCCAGGTCCACCTTGAGGGGCGTCCTTTGTCCCTTCGGGGCCACCTAAACGGGTCTTCTCAACGGGTTTCTGAAGACCATGACCTGGAGGGATGGCAGGTGGAGGAGGCGCTGGGCCACCAGCGGGCAGAGACCGAGCCTCCTGGGGCAGCAGAGAAGGAGCCACCCTAAGGTACTTGGCAGGAGTGACTGGCACAGCGTGAAGGGAGCAGAGGCTTCGGGGAGGGCCTGGGAGGAGAAGCATCCGGGTTAAGCCTGGAAGGTGGGCAGAGTTTCGAAGTCCCTGAACGGCAGGAGAGGTGACTCTCAGGCATCCTGAGCACTGCTCCCCTCAAGTACCCAGCACGGTCTCCCCAGCCCCTCACTGGCCCGGCTGTGGTGGGGAGGGGGCGGGACGATAAACACAGCTGCCTGCGTGAGCTATAATAATCACCACCACAACGAGCACAGATGTTTTTGCTGCGGCCGTGCCCTGGTCTAAGCACTTTAAAGTTCACTGCATTTACTCCCCATCCTTCGGAGATGAAGAAACTGAGGCACACACAGATTAAATAACCATACTTACCTCCTTAATCTCGTTTCACCTCTTCGCAACCTTTAAATATCCCTATAGGTGAATGAATCCCAAATGCATGTCTCCACCTTGGGCTCCTCCCGGGACTCCTGGTTCACATAAGCACCTGCCTTCCTGCTCTCATATTCTATGTGTCCAAGCTCAGGCTCCTCATGCTGCCCTCCCCGGCCCCTACCCCCAGACCTGCTGCACTCACAGCTGCCCACTTCCCGGGAAGTGGGCAGCTCCACCTCCCACCGCTCAGGCCAACCTGGAGTCATCCTTCTCTCTGTCTCTCTCTCTTGCATCCCACAGGCGATGGTTTGGCAAATCCTCCCAGCTCCCCCCACTTCCCATGCACTGCCCCCCGCAGCTCGGCCACCACTGCCTCTCTCCAGCTCACCCTGACAGCCTGTTGCTGAGCTTCCCTCTTCTCTCTCTGCCCCCTGAAGGCTATTCCCAGCACAGCAGCCCGGATGGTCTGTTGATGGTCATTCCTTCCTCATTGTCCTCATGAGCCCGCTTGCAGCCCGGTCTCACCCAGAGCAGAGCCCAGGTCCCGATCCCCAAGTCAGCTCACCCTCACTCTGCCTCGTGGCTCAATCAAGCCAGGCACACTCCTGCCTCAGGGCCTTTGCACGGAGGCTCCCCCTCCTCGGGACACTCTCACCCAGGTTTTTCTTCAAGTGCCAGCTCCTCCCAGGGCGCCACCCAGCCCCTGTGCAGACATACGCTTTCTGTGTCTTCCCGGAT